GTTAAAGGCTAGGCTCACAACCAAAAATATAAGAAACTGCTTTTGGATGTTTTGCTAAAAGTTTTCAAAGTGTTAATGGTTAGATTGAAAATATTGCTTTTCAATATGGGTTTGTAGGCATTATATAAGTTTGGATTCTTCTAACTAGGTTTGAGATTTTGTTTAAAAAATTATAAAGAAAAGGAAGAGTTATGAGATTGAATTATGTTCGCAGAAACCTATTGATATTAATCCACCCTGGTTTTGTGGAGTTAAGAAAATATTTAAGTTTGATGTGAATACATCGAAGGTTTTCCTATGTTCTGTTAACATGAAAATTCAAATGGTTGAGTTAAGGTTGTAAGACGGAGAAAATTGTTAACTATATATAGCACCATATATGCTAATTCAAATGGTTCTGTTAAGAGTTTGCTTTGAGTTGTGTAAGATTGAGAGAATTGTGACTATGTATAGCGATATTTATGTTAACCTGTTAATGGTAATGATGAAGCTAAGGGATTCTTTAAGTTTGTAGTTGCCTTAAGAGTTTTTGGTTTAGAAAGGGCTTGAGACACATAAGACTGCTGTGGTCACCTTGGACCTAATTCAAAAGAGAAATGCCATCTTTATCTTCCTCTACTCCCATATTGGGAGGTGTAACAGCTATGGAGATTGCTGTAAGCCGTTAATAGTTATTTTTTATATATTAAGAAGGGGGGACCTGTGGGAGCCCGTTCTCGGGTTCCTCGTGGCTTTACCCAGCAGGTCCGCATAGAGGATGATTAGGACCACGGGCCTGAGTGCAGGTGTCTGAGATGGTCTGCATTTGGCTGTGTTGGGGGAGGGGGGGAGGTCCTTTGCTCCACCCCCTTGGCGTCTCTATAAATACCCTGGGGCAGAGACAGTCAGGGCCAGTTGGAATAGGTTCCAGGCCCTCTTGAGGCTATCCTTTATTTTCTGTTTATCTCCGCAATAAATCCTTCTAATATTTCCTGCTGCTCACACTCAAGAAAACTCTGGGCAACTGTGTGTGTGTGGGGGGGGGGGGTAAACACCCCACAGGATCTCACCTAGAGTCCCAGCTATTCGGGAAGCTAAGGCAGGAGAATCAATGGAGCCCAAAAGTTTGAGACCAGCCTGGGCAACATAACAAGACCCTCAGTGTCCAAAACTAAGTAACTAAATAAATGGAAATAAAACTCCAAGGGAAACATTCTGGTCCCCCATGTGGGCCACAGGTCACAGCTATTCTAAAAGATTCAGATAAAATCAGTAATCAGTGATGTACCATCACTGTGGAAGATGTCGAGGGGGCGAGGGAGGGAGGGAGGGAAAGAGAGATGGGGGCGGGAGAGGGAGAGAGGAGTGTGGTGTGACTAATCCCTCAACCGTGCCGCACAGCCTTCCAGATCTCACGGAGTGATAGGGGAGATTCAGTGTTCTCAAACGACCTCCTCTACATGGGGCAGCTGGACTACAGACAGTTCTCCCTTAAGGCAATGTTCCTAACAGCCTGAAACAAGCTTTACCCAATGGAGGGGGATACCTCAGAGAGCAACCTCTAAGATTCCCTCCCGCAGTAACTGAGAGCTGGGAGCTGAGCGTTCCACAGAGTCCACAGCACTCTCGGTACAGCAAAGCAGAGCTTGGCTATTTCCCGGTCTGGGTGACACTCAAGTCCTGGGCTGGATCTCTGGCACCAACCACAGCTCTTTGGAACAAATCAGCCTCCCGAGAGCATGCGCACTTCAGTCCTCCTCTCTGTGCCAAGTCCTCCAGAGCAGCGCCCTCCAAAGATCAACAGGCGTCAACTGTGCAGGACGGGAAAGCTCAAGCGTGACCAAGAGGCTGGACTGTGGACCCCTATTAGTGGAATCGCCTGCACTTGCCAGCGCTGGCTTACGCAGTCCATCCCGTACCATCTGTGCAGCTGCCGCCATGGGCTTGGAGATCTACCTCGACCCGCTGTCGCAGCCCAGCCGCGCCATCTACATCTTCGCCAAGAAGAACGGCATTCCCTTCCAGATGCACACCGTGCATATTCTCAAAGGTTGGATTAAGCCTGGTACCCATCTACCCCTAGACCATGTCAGTCCTTCACCCATTGATGGGTACAGTCCCACCCAGTGTCGCCCACCAGGGAATGCCCTCTTTGGAGTGGCCTTAGTTCAGAACCCTCACTAAACTTGAATTCTGCTTTGGCAAGGGAGATAGGGTGGTACTTTCTGTCCTGGGGCGTAGGGGAGAAAACGATTTGCAGAGTTCCTCTGTGCTTTGAAGGCACGCTACATTTAGAGTTACAAAACCCCGGAGACTTTGCAAGGGAAGAGACACATAGCTGAGCCACCTCTGTGCCGTTGGTCCGGGGGGCCCACCCGGGTTTTGGCCGCTTCAACCGTGCTCTGGGAGTGTGAAAATACAGGGGTACCACTGCCTGAGACCTTGAACACATTTTCTGGCTTCTTCCTTCCCAGGCCAGAACTTGAGCGAGCAATTCTCCCAGGTGAACTGCTTGCGGAAACTTCCTGTCCTCAAAGACGGAAACTTCGTGTTGACCGAAAGGTGCAGCTGTAAATAAACCCAGAGCCTAAGCCACCTCCTCATGCTTCCTGTGGGGGCGGGGGTGGGTGGGTGAGGCGGGGGGCGTGGCCCTGGCAGATACCCACCCCAGGCCGTGAGGGGGCGTGGCTAGAGCAGACTGGGAATGAGGCCAGGATGACTGGAGATTGATCCAGCACTTCCCAATCCCTGTCCTGTTACTTCTGCTGGACCCCCAATCCTACCCTTGAGGCCTCACCGCCGTGACTGAGAAGCATTGGAAGGCGACAAGGGGACATTTGTCCAGGGTTAGACAAAATGTAGATTCAATAACGGAGGCTAGGAGGAGTTTCTCCTGACTTCGCAGATGTCCCCTGTCTAATCTACTCAAGGCTTGGTCCCTGGGGACCATGAAAGTGTCAGGTCTCCAGGTGCTGGCTGCTTCTCCCACTAGAGTCTAGTGACTAGACCGAGAGGACTAGAGGTCTGTCAGGTGGCTATAGAAGCGATGGCTGGTGGACCTACCGGTAGGAACCGGAGGACACGGTTCCCCTTTGGCATGTTCAAGCCACTCCATAGATGTATGCCTAGCTCACACAGGTTTCAAGGCCCCAGGGAGCTTTATCTAAACTGTGCAATCTCAGGCAACTAACTTAACTGTTTTGAGCATTAGCTTCCTCACGTGCAAAAAAGGATCGAGTCTCTACCTCATAGGGTGGCTGCTGGGGTACCATGAAGATGACGCCTCAAAAGGCAGAGAGCAGAGAGGTCTGGCCAGGGGTCAGAGTGCCATGTGCACGTGTGTGCTTGTATGTGCGTGTGTGTGTGTGCACGTGCGTGCGTGTGCGTGTGCGCGTGCGTGCATGTGTGTATGTCCCCGTTCCTCAGTTCCTCGGTTGCACGCACAGCTCTGCAAAGAAGATAGTCCAGAGACAGGGATAGGGGATGAGACTAGAAGGGAGTCCTTCAAAGTGAGAATCCTCGAGGCCCCACTGAAGAACGGGAAACAGCCAAAGGTCCTTACAGCGCCCCCTTCTCACGGTCCCCAGCTCAGCCATCCTGATTTACCTGAGTTCCAAGTACCAGGTGGCAGACCACTGGTACCCAGCTGACCTGCAGGCCCGTGCCCGAGTCCATGAGTACCTAGGCTGGCATGCTGATAACATCCGTGGCACTTTTGGAGTGCTCCTGTGGACCAAGGTGTGCAGGGTCCTCTGGGGAGGGGGTCGAACCTTGGGGGCCCGGTAAGAGTCAAGGTTACACACTGAGAAGTCCATTCTGCCAGGTGTTGGGGCCACTCATTGGGATCCAGGTTCCAGAGGAGAAGGTGGAACGGAACAGAAAGAGCATTGTCGCGGCTCTGCAGCGTCTGGAGGAAAAGTTCCTTGGGGACAAGCCTTTCCTTGTTGGCCAGCAGGTGACACTGGCTGATCTCATGTGTCTGGAGGAGCTGATACAGGTATGAAACCAATGGATGGAATAGTAACTAAGGGCAGGATCCTTCTTCTCACCATTTCTCTAAGTTAAAGGCACTGTAGCCTACAAAAAGCCAGAATCACAGAGGGGGACCCCTGAGTGACTTGCTTCCCGCCTGGGTGGGAGGCAGCTTCTGGCTACTGGAATGGATCACACTGCCCTGGACCTCCCCTGGGGCTGTGTCCATGATGGCTATGCTGAGTTGCCAGCATTAGGGTCGCATTAGCTCTCTAACTTTCACATTTTTGTCCCTGCAGCCGGTGGCTCTTGGCTATAATCTATTTGAGGGACGGCCGCAACTAACAGCATGGCGAGATCGGGTGGAGGCATTCTTGGGCGCCGATCTGTGTCAGGAGGCCCATAGCTCCATCCTGAGCATCCTGGAACAGGCAGCCAAAAAAACACTACCAGTGCCCCCTCCAGAGGCCCACGCCGGCATGCAGCTTCGAATTGCTAGGATTCCCTGAGTGGTCTGACTAGCAGTAAAGTTTCATGTTATTTCTTGGCTTGTTTTATCTTTTCTCTTTGCCCAAGGCCTTTTCCTGGCTCCCTCTCTGGCTCTGGGAGGAGCTTTGTACAAAAGAGACACCAGGCATCCTTAGCATGCTTCTCTTGAGGCACAGTATACACAACCAATAAGAGACCAAAATGAATAATATGCTAAAAACCAGTAATACAAAGAAAAAACATTCAAAAGTTAGCACACATCTGTACTCTATTACAATAAAAAGTCTGACTATTTTAAGGAATAAAGAGTTATTGGTTTTATTACATTGTCCTATAATATGCATGGAATAAAATGATGTCTCAGTAAACATGGATAATCAAAGGAAAGTCACAGATAACAAATCCATATAAAATTATCACATAGGCAAAAAGATAGTAAACAACAACCCATTTAGGGATATAGATGATTCTTTACAAGACTTGGTCTTTGAAGTATAGGACACAAAAGATTTCTTTGGGCAAACACTCCTGTCTTCCCAGAGAGTTTCCCAGTAACAACAGTGGGATTTATCTACATTGTTATTATAAACCTCCATGTGCGTCCATGGGAGAGAACTCACAACAGAAGGGATTTAATATAAAGGATTAAAAGGTCAACCAGATGGATCAGTCTGTAAGGATACTTATAGCCAAAGCTGACGTGGGGTGGTATTTTGTTTGTGATCTAACAAATAAAGCGTGCCTGAAGATCAGAGAGAAGAAATAATCCACTAGTTAGCCTTAAAGCCCAGGCAGTGGTGGCACACACCTTTAATCCATTTGCCAGATGGATCTCTGTGAGTTCAAGCCCACCCTGGGCTACACAAGATTGATCCAGTCTAAAAGAGAAACAGAGCCAGGCAGTGGTGGCACACTCCTTTGATCCTAGCACTTGGGATCTCACACCTTTAATCCCAGCACCAGGGAGGTGGAGACAGGAAGTGATATGGCTGAGCAGAGAGAGGAATATAAGGTGGGAGGAGACAGGAGCTCAGGCTCTTTCAGGTTGAGGATTCCTAGAGGTAAGAACTCGCTGGTGGCTGGCTGCTCTCCTTCTCTGATCTTTCAGCATTTACCCCTTTATCTGACTCCAGGTTTTTATCATTAAGACCAATTAGAATTTGAGCTACACTGATGACCTGTGTTCAATCCCCAGAACACATAAAACTCATAGAACTTAACTATATACAAAGTTAAAGGCCCCTCCCTATGGCTATAATAGTAGCAAACCATTGCTAGCCAGAGGATCAGCCTGAGGAGCTGCCTACGAGTTATGCAGGGATCCAGGAATGCTGCTTTTGTGTGTGGTCACTCATGCCGGGGACAGGTTTTTTCTTCCAGTAATGCCACGACCATTGTGTCATCCATGCTTCTGTAAGCAACCCCAAGAAACCCATCATCACCAAGGTAGCCTTGGGTAGCTTCATTTCTTGGGTGATCCATGTCCTGTCTGTTTTGAACAGATACTTGTTCATGTCTCCTCAGGAAAGTCAGTCAATGTGAGTATTATGGAGAGGGCATTGGTTCCCACACAATGGGGAGCTGCCTGGCTTTATGGATCAGGGCTAGGCCCTGACTGCTAGACAGTGTGGCTCAGGCTGTAGGGGTGAGGGACAGGAGATGGCAGGGAAATCTACAAACCACCATTGATTATAGCCCCTCAGAGGAGGAGAGAGGCTAGCATATGGGGGTCCTCAAGGCCATTGTTACCTCCCAGTCCATTATTAATCATAAATACTGGATCTGCTCCCATATGAAGGCCAATGCAGGCTGGCATGGCAACTAAGTCCAGAGCATTTTTAAAAAATGTCCTATGAGGACAGATCCAGGGCAAAAGACGTAACAACATGGGCACCATGAGGTACAGGGGAGGGGTCCAGATTTCGTTCATCTTTCCATCGCCTGCTGTGACAGGTGCTGGCTGTCTACAAGGAGAGCTGGGCAGGCAGGCCACCATGATCCCAAGCTCGGGTAAGACAGATAATCCCTGAATCCCCTTGCTAGGTAACCCCAGCTGAGCTCAGAGCAGCCACGCCAGCCTCCTTTTCTCTTGCCCTGCTTAGGCTGCCACTCAGTTTCCTTCCTATCCCTGGCCATCAGCGGTAGCATCCCCCTAAAGGTCCTCTCAGATCATGCAACTGTTCCCTGCCCGGGCAGGGCCTCAAGAGGGCTCAGTGATGTATACCTCCCCTTTGCTTGTGTCTGAAGAATGTTGGTGGGACAGCCGTGGCTAGTGGCTTTTAGATCACAGAGCCTTTAGGTGGTTCTCTCTCCAGAAAGCAGGCCACCCTCCCACACAGTTCACTCCAGAGTTGATGAACCACACTGGCTGTGACTTTGCAGCTAATACTAGTTTGCTTTCTGTTGTTGTGATAAAGACCATGGCCAAAAGAAGCTTGGGGAGGAAAGGGTTCCTTTCATCTCACAGCTTGTGGTCCATCACCCAGAAAAGTCAGGGCAGGAACTCAAAGGCATTAATCTGGAGGCAAGAACTGAAGCAGAAGCCATGGAGATACACTGCTAACTGTTTTGCCCTCTCATGGCTTCCTCAGTTTGCTTTCTTATATTACCCAGGACCCCTTGCCAGGGACGGAACTGTCCACAGAGGAATGTGCCCTCCCTCTTCAATCATCAATAAAAAAAAAAAATGCCCCACGACTTACTTGTGTGCAGGCCAATTTGATGGAAGCATTTTCTCAGCTGAGATTCTGTCTTCCCAGGTGATTCTAGCTTATGTCAAGTTGACCCCTCCCCCGCAGAAGAAAACCAGCCCCCTAACTAGCATATAGATCTTGTCAGTTAGGGTTTCTATTGCTGTGAAGAGACACCATGACCATGGCAACTCTTATAAAGGAAGACATTCATTGGGGGCAGGCTTACAGTTCAGAGGTTCCGTCCATTTTCATCATGGTGGGAAGCATGGCAGCATGCAGGCAGACATGGTGCTGGAGAAGGAGCTGAGAGTTATACATCCACATCCAGATTGGCAGGCAGCAGGAAGGAAATGCCACACTGGGCATGGCTTGAGCATCTGAGACCGCAAAGCCCACCTCCAGTGGCACACTTCCTCCAACAAGGCCACACCCCCTAATAGTGCCACTCCCTGTGGGCCCGTAGGGACCACCAACAGGTCTTACGTAGAGCTGATTACTGTCCCTTCCTCTTGGGACTACAGTTAAGCCCAGCTCCCTGATCTGCTGACACAAAAGAACTCTGACGTTTATCTAGTGCCTTTCTTCCATGTGACTCTTGACATGTAGACCAGACCATTGCATTTTTTGTCTCCAAGACTCACTCTGTTGAATGCAGGGGTGGAGTCAATGAGGGAAGGAACAAGCGCCTCTCCATTCCCCTGCTCTTCGCCCAGTTTCCCCATTTTGTTTTCCTGTGGCATTATCTGCCCGCACTCCATTCTTTCATTTCTCCTCTTCCCCACAGGACGGTGGCAAATCCAAGGTCTATAAAGGGCCACCACCATGGGATGGGGCTAATGTGCCCAAGGGCAATGTGGGTCAGGGGCTTCTGGCACATCTGAGCATGCTAGACCAGGGCCTCAATTCCCACCCAGTGACCTCTTGCTTGCTTTCACCAGGCAGATTCTGTTTGCCTGGGCTCAGGGCCAACTCTGGCTCCTGGCCCAGGCCTTCCTTCTCTACTGTGGGAACAGCCAGTTGATTGTGTTCCCCATGGTTTATGGAGCAGAGCTTATCCTTGGAGAACCAAGGGTCTTGAAAAGTTTCAGCCCTACACCTGTATCCTGGTTCCTCATTCCAGGAGCAGTAGCCACAATCCTGTGACTTGGTCACCGTGACTGTCTTAGTTAGGGTTTCTATTGCTGTGATGAAACACTGTGACCAAAAAACAAATTGGGGAGGAAAGGGTTTATTCAGCTTACACTTCCACATCACAGTTCATCATCAAAGGAAGTCAGGACAGGAGCTCAAACGGGGCAGGAACCAGGAGGCAGGAGCTGATGCAGAGACCATGGAAGGGTGCTGCTTACTGATTTGCTTCTCCTGGCTTGCTTATAGAACCCAGCCCAGGGAGGCATGACCCATAATGGGCTGGGCCCTCCCACATCAATCACTACTTAAGAAAATGCCCTGCAGGCTTGCCTATAGCCTGATCTTACAGAGGCATTCTCTCAACTGAGGCTCCCTCCTCTCTGATGACTCTAGCTTGTGTCAAGTTGACATAAAACTAGCCAGTGTGGTGACCTTGCTTGACACTGTCAGAGTGACAAAAGGTGTATGTGGGGAGGGGGTGGGGGGAGTCTTCACTCATCCAGTCAAGTCCTGAGCTGTTCCTGACACCGTGGATGATGTCATCCCCACACAATGTGAATGTGTGTGTGTGTGTGTGTGTGTGTGTGTGTGTGTGTGTGCATCTCCCAAAGTCCTACCCACCAGCAGGCTTCAGATCCTGTGAAAACCATGGGGAAGGCATTGCATTCCCTTTTCATAGGGCAAGAAGGTGTGGGCCAAAGGATTACTCTCACATCCTCAGGTTTCAGAATGGGGTCTTGCCAGCTTCCTGGGAGGCCTTGGCTAGAAGCCGGGGAAAGCCCAGGTGACTGGCTTGTGGCCAATGCCTACTCAGTCAGCATGTTCCAGTATGGGTGCCAAACCCTGGCCTCCTTTGTATCCAGGTCTACAGAGACCCTGCCCACAGCCCAGCCCTCCACACCACACCAGAAGTACCCAGGCCAAAATAGGCCCAGGGAACATGACCGTGAGCACTCTGAGAGTGTACTGCATTGTAGCGGTAACACCTGCGCTACCACCACCCATTCACCATGTCCGAGCGAGGCTGCTGTGGATCAAAAAACAGAGACAAAAGACAGCGGGTCATTTGCCTCCCCCAGAATGCCGAATGCCGTTTATTGAAGGAGGGAGGGGCCAAGCGACCCGTCTTGAACATCCGACATTCCCATGGTGCCAGTCCACAGGGCAGGGCTGCTTCCCTCATGTGGAATGAGGATACTAATTGGAAAGAATGAGGCCCAGCTAGAGGGCAGGC